ACGAGTTTGAGACCAGCCTGGGCTACAAAGCAAGCTTAAGGCCAGCGAGAACTGCAGAGCAAGACCCTGTCTCAAAAAGACATAAAAATTGGTACCCTTCTGCACTGTTGGTGGTAATGGAAAATGGTAGTTACTGTGGAGAATGGTATAGTGATCAGTCAAAACCTAAAATCAGAATTACCAAAAAGAAGAAACCTGAGATCCACATTCTGATGAACACATAAGCATGCTGTGGTACCGAGGACCCTCCAGTTACGACCTGCCTCCCATACAAGCAACTTGGATTATGACTAGAATTTTAGGTTTGAATTACAACCAGAACGCTGGCCACTTAGCATTTGTTTAATGGCAATGGCATGTCAAAACACACAACAGTGTTAAAGACAAGAAAGAAGGGCCAGCCAAATAGCTCAGCAGATTAAAGTACCTGCAAAAAAAAAAAAAAAAAGATTTAAGCACCTGCTAGCAGGTACAGGGCCTTGGATCCCTCGGCCTGGGCAGCAATCCCAGCTCTTGGGAGGCTGTAAACAGAAAGATCACTATGAGTTCGATCTAGTAGTGAGACCCTCGGGGGCCTGGCCCTAGCTCAGTTCTTTAAGTGGCTGCTTCCACCAAGCTGTCAGCCTCAGGTGGCTCTAGTTCGATCCCCACAACTCTCCAGCCAGCCAAACAAGCCCTGAGGGCATTCGGAGCAAAAAAAAAAAATCCTTAGTAGTGAGACCCTGAACATCTCGTAGACCCTTCCCTAAAACACACACGGAAAGGAAAGGAAAGGAAAGGAAAGGAAAGGAAAGGAAAGGAAAGGAAAGGAAAGGAAAGGAGCCTAGACTAGTTTTTATACTAGAAAAGGTTGAGACCTGGTGATCCAGAACAGGTTTTAGTTGGCTACAGACTCTCCCAAGGAAAGGAAAGACGCCAGAGAGCCAGATGCCTGATGTTTTTGAAAAAGGGGACTCTGCTTCCAAATAGTAACCATCTTCCATTTCACCCTACCTCCCAGTGAGCCACAGGTGTCAACTTGAATGGTGAGTACAGTAGGAAATTGTTCCTGGTAAACCAGGCATACTTTATAACTTTTAGGTGAATACACTAAGAAAATTATTGGTGTTTTGGTAAATTACACACATTATACAACCTTCTCTATAATTGAAAGCTCAGTTAAGGGGTTCCTTTGGAGGTCTGGGACACATTTTGGCTATTTCCATTATTTCTTATGGGAAAAAGTCTTGAGGTACAACACACTTGAGTTACACCCAGCCCTGGTGAGCAAATCGAGTTTGTGGTCAAGGGTCCTCTCCTGACAGTCTTAACTGTTTAACAAACACAGAGTTTCAGCTTTAAAAGATGTAGCAGGGATAGGAGCTAAGGATGCGGATCAGTAGCAGAGAGCTTGCCTAGCACAAGTGAGGCCTGGGGTCAGTCCCCAGCTCTGCAGAATAAATAAAATAACTCAACCAGAGAGAGATACACATACAGAGAGAGACAAAGTGACAGAGACAGACAGAAGACAGAATTATTTAAATATGCAAGTTAAAAAAAAAACTTTTTTAAGCCAGTTATAGTGGCACACACCTGCAATTCCAGCAGGTGGAAGGAACAATGCAAGTTAGCTAGTAAGTTCAAAGTCAGGCAGAACTACAAAGTGAGACCCTATCTCAAAAGACAAAAACAAAACAAATCAAAGAGTGATGAGTACACAACATTATGAAAGTGTTCAATCCTAATATACTGTACACAGAAAGTAGTTAATGTTATAAATTTTGTGTTATGTGTATTTTATTCTAATTCTAAAAAAGAGGAAAGGAGAGAGAAAGGGAGGGTGGAAGGATGAAATGAGGAAGAAAATGTGAGTCTTGACCTCAGTCAACGAGTTTATAAATATACCAAAGGATGAGCTATGAAAAAAATGTTT